TCATCCGGCCAAAATATTGCTTCAACGAAATCTGCTGACGGCGCGTTTACAGCTTTGCACATGACAACAACTAGTTAACACAAGTAGCCAATCATCCGGCCAAAATATTGCTTCACAATACTGCTTTAATCTGCTGACGGCGCGTCTACAACTTTGCGCGTGACAACAACAAACCAAATACAAGACAGTAAGCGGAATTGGTTCACGCGGCTAATAACGTGCAGCGACTAAAGTTAGGGCAAACAGTGTAGGTATTTAGACGCTAGCGTCGCTCTTGTGTAGTTTAGTTATAATAACTCTTCCGCTGAGACCGGCTGCCCTTGTTAAGTGCAAGGGAAATAAAAATATTTAAAAACGAAGTTAACAGATCGTTTTACTTACATATAAAAACCACATAGTTGGGGTCGTGGATGAATTCTGATTTGCTTACTTTTTTGATATTTACTTCTAAAACTATGTAAAAAAAATACAGAGAATACAAGATTAATTATTAATCTTGCAAGTACTCTGATAAATATTTAATAGAATTTATTTAAATATGCAGATATTATTTATTACTTTTAATTCATCATAATCAATACTAATCGTTAAAAAATAAGAAAGCCAATAACAAGAATTTATAAGTTTAAATAAATTTTGATAACAATCATTTGCTAACATTTATCTTGCATAGGTTTTATCATATTTTACATCGATTTGTCTAATATCATACAATTTTGCTCACTGTTAATTTGTGGTGATATACTCACATAGATTCTTGGGTGAAAAATACACTGTGTTTCTGGTAGCCGAAAAAGTAGGAACGAATTAGCAATGGTCCTTCTTGTTGATTAACATTTTTTGATATAATGAAATATTAACAAACACATGAAACGCGAATGAGGTAAAAAAAGAATGGGTTTACTTACACATTATTTATTGGAATTTCAATAGTTCATTTCATTTTCATTTAGAAAATTCCATATATCAGTTATTGGTGCAGCCTTATCAGTTTGCGGTCGAAATTCTTTTCAATAAATATATATAATTCAATGCTAGATCTAGCTAGACCATTCCGACCGTTCGAAGTATATAAAATTTTATATCCTTATAACTATCTTTGTGTAAATTTTTTTCGTTCTGTTTTTTCGCAGATAGATACCTATTGAAATTTTTGGTAAAGTCAAGAAATTTCAAGTCGATAGCTCTATTAGAAGTATATTTTTTGACTAAAATCGAAAAATGTCTGACTAGACCACTCCGAAAGACGGAGGGTTAAGGGTTCTACCACGCTCAAATATTGAAACCCGTTTTGTTTCTGCTATAGAGTTTATTATCTTGTTAACGTTATAGTAAAAGAGTCAACGCCAAAACAAAGCTTATTCACTTTTTGGGATGTTCACCTTTACGGAATCGAAAAAATTCACAGAATTTAATGATTCGTACAATTAAAAATAAATATTGACAAGTTGGCAACATGGAAAAGACCTGTAGTCATAACATTGAAACAATATGTGAGAATATACGATCAATTTATTAAAAAAAAAGCATCACAATTCAATGAGTGGCTGGGACTTGATCGTTTGTTGAGCTCTGTGATCATACACATCTTTCATTATAATTTGTCGAAACTTCTCATGGAATTGCGCAAAGTTATAAGAAATATTCGTGCGCTGGATATTATTAATTGATGAGGGTACTTTAAATACTGCCACATTGCTGCAATGATGCCGATGCGGTTCATGTAAGCTTATGTCATTTTTATTGGATCTCATAGGCGGATGGTTGGCCCTTACTTCTGGACCTGTAAGAAATAAAATATTTTTTAATGTTTAATTTTTTCCATTTACCAAAATCAAAAAATTATGTGTAAGAATGTACTATGTTTAAATGGCACCGATCGTTATATAACTGCCGTTACGTGAAAAAAGAATTTTAGCTAAATACTCAACAGCTTTTACGGTAATTGTATCTATAAAATTTGGGCACGTTAGTCTATGCCATAAACTCAAAATCCCTTTATTTACAATGTGAATAAGCTTTGGGAATATATATCTCCCTTTGCTTTTACTCTGTTCCCCGTCTCAACCAACAGCAGAAATTTCTTCATTCTCCTCTACCCATATTATATTTTGATTTGGACTTTTCGCATTGCTTGCATTTACGTAGGTATATAGGAGATTATACTAAGAATGAAACTAATTATAAAATCAATCAAGATGTTGAGGATTGTAGAACTATTAATTAAACTTTTTAATTATATTTAAGTAATATAGCACACAAAAGAGTCGGGCGTGATCAACGAAAGCTCGCAAATCTCTTACTTGATATATATTTACAGTAAATAAAATGAGATAAACAACAAATAAATGCATTTATTGTATATTGATATGAAAGAACAATGTGGCTTTATCCAGACTTTCAGAAGCCATTTGATTTAACGACAGATGGTTTCCTCGTAGAAGTGGCTTTTTTCCTCATGGTGGAAAATCTACCAATGCATGCGAATCTCGTGCTATTGGCTGGGTTTAAAAGATCCTTAGAAATTACTTTTACCCTGTGAAAAACATTAATATTTTCACAGAACACCGCCTTTAACATTTGCGGATTCAGACCGAAACCAACCTTCATCGATGAGCACGATCTTAAAATTTTTTACAAGCCGGGTAAGGAAAATTATGTTTCTAATGTACACTGCTTTAACTGAAGCAAAATCGAATAAAACAGGACTTAATATACATTGGCGACGAGACATTAGACAAGAAAACTGGCAAATTAAATTGTTGGAAATCGAAAGATTTGCAGTAAGGTAAATACGAAGGACACCTACGTACACAGGTATTTCATACAACATTAAATGCTGCATATAAATATACAATAAATTGGTATGACGGATAAGAAATACTATCTTCATTGTTTTGATAAGCTTTCAAAAAAAAAGAAGAGAAAAGTCCAATCATTTACCATCACTTCATAGAAATTCAAGAGGGTAGCAGGTCATGATGAAATAAAAATCAGGTGTACTAAGTAATCAAGGGACAATTGCTGCCTTAGAAATAGCTGTTGCTTTTATAGAACTATATTCTCATATTTGAATAAACATCTTAGAAAAAATGGTGAACGTAAAGACTTTCATCATTGAAAAGAGTATACATCACAACAGATTTTCCAATATTCGTTAAAATCACATTCCGTTAAAATGTTTTATTATATGAACTTACAACATATATAATTGGCGCTTTGTAACCGGTGAAGTGGTTTTCGGCCGAGATCCTCCTCCGAATTTATTCTAAATTTAAATTAATTTTCCACAACTTTTGAATGTTGGTAGCTCCGAGATATAAACACTAGCCTTCAGAATGTCGGTACGCAATGCTAACCACTCGGCTACCGCGGCCGAAAGCCAATTGGGAGAATATTTTTACGGTTGCAAAACAACATAGTTTTCACACATACATAAATACTCTAAAAATAATAACTTTCTATATTATCTTCTGTAAATGTACCAAAAAAACCCATTCATATTGAATCTATGGACCCTAAGTTAGATTTTATGAATAGTATAAATTCTTATGTTAAGGCAAAATAATGTTGGGGTAAGGTGACTAACGACCCATACATTACCAACTTAGGCCCAGCGGTATGGAATATAGACTATCAGTTCTATAGTGACAAATTGAAAATTGTATAAAATTCGCGTTAAGAGACTTACACCGGTATGCGAATAAGAGTCTTCCTCCGCATAAAAGTCGTTTCTCTTTAATCTGCTTTCACTGCATATTAATAAAGCGAAGCTTGGAGATTATTTTAGTCTAATTAATTAATTAATTGCGGTCGTCATTCGAGAGGGAATATCACGCCCGTTTATTTAGAGGCAGCTCAGAATTAAGTTTAGGTATCTCCATTTGTTGGCAAAACATCAAGACGCAAATAATAAATTGAAGGAGGTAAACAGCCGAAAAACTTGTTAGCAGTTACAAAAAAGCGCCAATTATATAAATATTGTTTATATACATATATATTTTTCAAAAAATGACTCCTTTTTTTCAATATTTATGCAAATTCCCCTGAAACTCGCGATTTTTGTTTCTTTCCCCTGTTTTTTCATCAAATTCGAAAATACAACTTTGAGCTAAGGTGGTGTCAAGGTCTCTTTCTACTCTATTTACTTCATCTGGTAATTATTTCATTATGGTAGCAGGTCACTTTGAAAGGAAAACTGACCACTATTACTGACTACAATTGGACAATACAATATGATACCATTTGAAGTAATAACGATTGACCGAAATGAGATGCGAAACTTCTTCCTTATTGGTGTAGGCATCGTTTAAACGATTAGAGCCGAATCTACAATACGCGCCATCTCTTCTTTTCGCTGTTTGGCGCCAATTCTAAATACCAAGTGAAACCACCTGATCTTTCCAACGGAATGGAGGTCTTGTTCTTCCGAAATTATTTACGACCTCGAAGTTAAGACAGCCAGCAGTGACGTCTGCGCCAAGTCGCTAATGATACTCTCAATGAAATATCAAAAGCTGAAGAAAAGAAGCTGAAAAGATTGTTTAACGTCGAAGAACGCTTTTAACTGAAAACTTCCAAAAGCCTAAGTAATAAGCTATATCCTCTACTGCCATTCTTCGACCAATATCCTAGTTTTTTCTAATTGCGATCGCTCCGCGGAAACTTTATGAATACGGAACTTTTATGAATATGGAATTCGGGAAAATTTATAAAAAAATTATATATACGTTTTATAAACACTGAAAATTTTTGGCCGTATGAACATACAGATTTAAATGCTTGTCATTAGGCCTGGGATAGAAACTTGGTCTAACGCTTGACGGAGGTCTTTGGCCTGTCTACGTAATTAACGAAATCTTGTCTGTAGTTCCTTTGGAATGCATTTTATTTTAATCATAGTCGAGAAACCGTCTTTAGAAATAGAGTGACGAAGTGTGCCAGTAAGGCTGTTGTAAAATTAAATTAAATTTTAAATAATGAATACATTAGGAGCGTTATTTAGATTTACCTTTCTTTTGTTAGAGAGTGCTGAATTGAATTACAAATTTGTACCTACATAGATATGTATAGCGCATCTTCAAATAACGGCAACAATTTACCTGATGAATGGCATGGGTTATTCAAACCACGTTGCATGGGAGAACCAATAAGTGCATCTATATTAGTGGTGTTGTTATTGTTAATGCCAGGCAGAGGAGGGGCCGGCCGATTAAATGGATTTTGTCTCCGAGGCGGTGGTTTAGGTACTGTTATATTTGTCCCATTTGTTACTTTCGTAAGAATTTCTACAAATATAAAATATCATAATACATAAACTAGAATTTCACTATTATTTCAAAATCAAATACATATATATATATAAAATAATTTTTCTATTTTTTTATTTAAGGAATTGCTATATTTCATTCAGTCTTTGATTTTGATTGCAACAGCACACTGCATTTCAAGTTTGTTTAGATTACGGTCTTTAATATCAGACAGCAATCATTAATATATTCTTTTAGCATTTTTTCTCTTCATCTGCAACAATTTCTAAATATTTTATTAGCAAATATGGAGCATACAAAGTAGTAGAACTAAACCTCAAACTATTTGTGTTATCTAAAATTAATTAGTCAGTTAGAAGCGAAATTCACACGAATAGAGAGAAAATATCAAACTGAAATGGTCTAATCTTGAAACAATCACTTATTTCAAGATAAAAATTTCTGCCGAGGGAAAATTATTCATTTCGATTTTTACCAACTTTAATTTGTTAAAAACTTATTTAAATTTTTCGCTTTGTGACTTGAATACTGACTCAATACGCTCAACTTGTAAGCTTAACTGATAAGAAACGAACAATTCTATTCTCAAGATAAATAAATTTGCCGGTAGAAAGTTTACTCTATTTTTAGATAGTAAAGATAGTAATGATATATACAGGCCTATTATGTCGAGGTAACAAAATTTACCTAGGTATTAAAATTTACCATTAATTTTTGTTACCATTTCGTATTGTGAACTCACTGTTACCCTGTAAATTTTGTTACCGGCAGGTAACAAAAATATCTGCTGTTTGATTTTGTGTTTTAAGTAAAATGGGTAAGCATATTTTAGGCCTGGAATTCATTGGAGATGAAGAAAAGAGTGCAAAAAGTCGTATTTTAAGAAGTTTTCGAGACTAAAAAATAGCCCTTTAATCTGTAAGATAACGTTTTCATTCAGCTTTTTTTTGTTGTCCAGGCATATTTTCCATAATTAGATTCAAATAGTTATGATTTAATAAACACATAAATAAAACTTATTTATTATGAAGTGCACCGTCGTCAATGAAGTGCAACTGGCAAATGTAATTTGACATGGACGAAAAAACAGTGCTGCCAAATTTTTTTCAAACATTGTAACCAGTTTACCAAAATACCAAATTCAATTTCGGGTGTTAAAGAAAAGTAACAATTAAACCGCCTTAGAAATTTTTCGTGCCAATAACTCTCAAATATGATCAGTCATGATTGAAGCGGATGGTTAGGTCCGTTATCTTATTGAAATATCTGTCTGTGTTGATCCAAAGTACTTTTGTAAACATACAGCCTTGGCCAAAAGTATTAGGCACCCTACAAAAATTATCATTGAATAAATTGTGTAATATTAAAAGTCATTGCACCCTGGGTAACCTAAATCTAAAATTGTCATTTTTAAGAAATTCATAAAATATTTTCGCATTTAAAATGTGAAAGTGAAAGTGTAAATTATATTTAGTGAAAAGTTACCAATCTTATAAAAACAGTTCATATTTACCGAAATCCCTAAAAAAAATTAATTAGTTACGATGATATAGTTAGAATTCAAGTTCTAAGTGAAGAAGGTAAGTCTCAGGATGAGATTGCCAATTTGGAGGGATGTTCGCGGTGCGCGGTCCGATGTGCTATCAGACGATTTGTGGAGACGAAATCCCACAATAATTAATCAAAAAATGGAAGAAAGCGTCTAACCAGTAAACGAGAAGACATAATACTTAGACGCGAGTCTATCAAGGAGCGCAACAAATCTTTTTCTGCCCTTGCTGCTGCCCTTTCGGATAAATTGAAGACTTCTGGAAGCAGGTTTAAAAGGATCTAAAGCCCGAAAGAAGCCGTGGCCCTAAGAAAAGAATAGGAAATATTGTTTGGAATGGGCGCACCGATACCAACATTTCACGGAAGAAGATTGGTCGAATGCTCTGTGGTCTGATGAATCAAACCTCGAGGTAAGCTTAGTTAGGACCGTCTTAAAGTATTAAAATCCATAGCTTCTTACTCTAGAGCAATTTTGAAGGCATAATACAAATCTTATGAAAATATTATTTTTTCTTTTCTACAGATATTTGCAAAACCAGGTGTGACGTTCGTGAGGCGACGGGTTGGGGAAGAATATCATCCAGATTGCGTGGTACCCACTGTTAAGGATGGAGGAGGCAGCATTTTGATCTGGGGCTGCATGGATGCTGATGGTGCCGGCGAAATGTTCGTTTGCGAGGGTCGCATAGACAGTCAAAAGTACATAAATGTATTATGTATGCCTTCGTTAACGCGCATTTTCGGCGATACAAATTTAGCGGGGTTCAATTTCAGCAAGACAATGCTCCTTCTTGTCGCATATCAGGGAGTACGATGCGTTGGTTTAGAGATATCATAACAACATCGTTTTGTTAGATGGGCCTGCACAGTCTCCAGATCTTAATCCCATTGAGCACATGTGGGCTATTTTAAAACGCAAAATTAAGGAACACAGTATAACATCAACAACTGCCTTAAAGAAAGCCTTAATTAACGAGTGGTACGCTATAAGTGCGGATGAATGTGCGAAGCTTGTGCGCAGCATGCCTAAGAAAATTGCTGCTGTAATTAACCCCTAGGGTGGACCTACTAAATAATAATGTTACTATCACTAATTCAGTGTATTTTCACTTTAAAGCTATCTTCCTGTAAAGCTCTTGCTATAGTTTTTGGATGTACATTTTTGTCCAAAATTTTAGCGATGCTGTCGGCTAACTTTGGGCCTCTTGTTTTAAGATTTTTTGCCACTTTCTTGGCGATAAAACTAACATCACGCCAGGATAGTTTCCTTGGACGCCTAGATCTTGGCCTATTTCCAACAGATTTGTAGGTTTTTACTTTCGAACAATAGTTTTCACGCTCGCATAAGGATTATAAAGATTTTTTCCTAGATCTCGGTAAGATTTTCCTTCTTAAAATGTTTAATCATTAAGTTTTTAACACCACCCTTTATCTGTTTTTCTTTACCCATATTTTTTTATTTTGTATTCAGTGTTGGAGAAGAAGTCGCATCTAATGTAAATGTGTATAAGCTGCTAAATCATTGAATATAACGGTACTTTATTTCTAAAGAACTTGCAAAACACATCCGATAAGTATTTTTCTTTGGTAGTATTTATTTAATAAATTTACCGTTATCTACGCGGCTTTGAATATTTCTTTGGATTGTATTGTTGATTAAAAACAAACTAAAAATAACATGTTACAAATGTTAAAGTAGATTCCTATATATACTCCTCCTCCAGTATAACGCATATGTATTAATATTAATTAAGGTTAAATGTAACTTTTTTGTTTGGTGTCTGTCAGTGAACTTTTGCCTCGTGAAGAAGTGGTTGACTTAATGTTTGCACGTTTATGTAAATCTATTGATATTGTTTTAATTTTACTTCCATATTGTATTTCAAATGCCTTGTTATGTTTGGATATAACTTTAAATGGTCCTTCATAAGGGGGTTGAAGATTACTTATGAATAACTTTACCAAATACGTATTCACAAGAACTTAAATTTTCAAGAAGGAAACTATTTTCTTTATTATGATGTATTACTTTCGAGAAATGTTTTCTTAATTTAAAAAAGAATTTCATTTGTATTTTCAATTTCGTTATTATAATTATAATTGGAAACAATAAGTTCACCCGGAAGTCTCAGTGTTTGACCATAAACTAATTCAGCTGAAGAACATTTAAGATCTTCCTTAATCACTATTCTTAAACCTAAAAGAATCTACGGTGAAATTTCAGACCAATGAACTGAATCATTTGTTGCTGTAATTGCAGTTTTCAAAGTTCTATGAAGTCTTTCAATCACTCCATTTGACTGTGGATAAATTGTGTTCCTTGATCTACCGTTATATTGAGTGGGATACCGAAACGAGGAACATAATTTTGAATAAATGTAGTTGCAACAGAAACCGCTGAAATGCCTTTACGTGGATATACAATACTTCCGGCCATCGAGTATGTCTGTCAATGATTGTTAATATGTATCGATTCTCCTTTGAAACTGGAAGAGGTCCTACTAGATCCATAGAAATATCTTCAAATCGTCCAGAAGGAATGTTAATCTTTTGAATTGGAGTTTTTACGTTCCTAGGAACTTTAGATTTTTGACAGTTAATGCAAGATGTTGTCCAACTATTAATTCCTTTACGCATATCAGGCCAAAAATATTAAGATAGAGTGAGACATCGAGTTGTTCGAACACTTGGATGTGATAAAGAATGAATTTTTTCAAAAATATTTTTTCTCATTGAATGACATATGGTCTAAAAGGTGTTTGTGTAACATCACACCAAATATTAAGATTTAAAATATATATATATATATATATAGGTATATTAATTTCTTTTAAGTTAATTTTAGCTTTTGGATCTGAAATAATATTTTTAAATATTTCATCTTTTTGTTGTTCTTCGTAAAGGTATTGAAAATTAATACGAGAAAGAGTATCGGCAATTTTGTTATCTTTACCACAAATGTATCTCATAACATTTGTAAATTGAGCAATATATTCTAAATGTCTATTTTTACGAGGAGATCTATCAGCTTTAGAATTTAGAATATGTGTAAGTGGTTTATTGTCAGTGTAAACAATGAAAACTCTACTTTCAAGAAAATGTTTATAATGTTTAATTGAATTAATTGAAATGCTAAGAGTTCTCTATCGAATGTGGAATAATTAATTTCAGTTGGAGTTAATTTTCGCGAAAAATATGCTAATGGTTTTAATGATTTATTACTCTTTTGTTGTAAAACAGTTCCAATAGCAACATTTGAAGCATCTAATGCAATCGATAATTGACCGTTTTTGCCAAAATGTTTCGATAATATTTTTTGTGCGAAAAGTCTTTTAACATTTTCCAAAGCTTTTGTGGTTTCATCTGTCCCCCTGAATTCTTTTAGTTTATTTTTAATTATAAATGTTAACATTTCGGACAGAGGACTTTATCTGCTGCTAACATTTTAATATACCTATGCTAATAAT